GTCTATATTAGCAAAAAGTTCACCTTTCAAAGATAAATAATCATAGGTTATATAGTCTAATTTAACAATCGGTATTTTTATTAACGGTTGTATCCTTGTTACACTATATATATATCCAAGCAAAACACCCGTTGCACAACTACAGTGACGTCCCCCGGGTTATATTACGTGGTTGCTGACCTGGGTTGTGGATACTAGCCATCCCTCACACCCTCCTCTATGTTCATATCGTTGTCACAGTTGTTATTTGGAATTGTTAAGGTATGAATATGTCATGAACATTGCTCTTGGGTTCTTGGTATACATTCCAGAAACAGCAAACGGACGCATGTCCAAAGATTCGTCTTCATACCAGTCCCCATAACGGTTTACTCCAACTGCATGATTTATTACTCATTGTAGTTGCCACAGGTTAAACAGGAAAAACAAACAATCTCTTCTTTCTATTCTGCTGGTAATATACTGTAACAGGGATAAATCCAGGAATTGTATATTGTGTCGGACATTTTTAATTAATCATTTTCATTTTTATTCTTATTTCAGGTGATCCGACAGACGACTTCTCTATACATTATATATATATTATATGTTGTCAATCCAGTTGCATCTTGTCTTGGCCTTAACTGTTCAGTTCTGTGTTACAGGGCTGGTTCATTGTGTATTTAAGGGTATCTGGGTCGATCTACTTTTATGTCATTGTCTTTAGTTGTTTTAACAATAGCCCAGGCTCAGCTTCTCAGTTGATTGGTGTAAGTTCAAGTATACTTCTCGCCGCCATGTTACTAATCAGTTTTGCACCACACTGTCTCTACATGAGGACTGTTTAAAAGATTGTATTTTGATCTAAGGTTACTAATTATACTGTTTGTAATATATACATAGCTAATTAAACCCTAATATAAATAATTGTATAACATAGGCACAAATATGTTCAAGATAAAGCACATGTATATATTTACACAGTATGCTATTTTACCTGTATGAATGTGCGTATGGTTGGTTTGTGTTGGCTTGTAGTTCTTGTTTTACAAATGCTGTATATGATGTAAGATTGATCTATTTCATCAATTCTGTATCTTGTTTGTAACTCCATAGTGGTAGTTTCAAGTATGTATATATGTTGGTATAATGGTTATTATTTTCACGCCGAAGTGTTGTCCCACATCATGGACAATACCTCTCATCAGTGTATCCTATGTTATGTAAGACTATTGCATGTGTTAGATGCCCGGCTGCTGGGTGCTTGAGCACACTCCCGTGTCACCCACAGGGTAGGTTTCATTGTCTGTTTTTATAGTCTGTTTCATGATATGCCACATGAAATGTCACTTGTAATAGTAACAATAGTATATGCCATTTTTCATAACCTGCGTGAGATTATGTAAGACAGGTACATTGTTTACTTACGTCTATGTTATTCCGATGTGTATATATGAAGACATGCATTTATGAGATATTTATACCTACATATATATGAAGGCATATGTTCATCGGATGTGGTTTTAGCATCTACATATACATTGTATAATTATGATCGTTACAGAGTGTCTACTTCTACTACTTCTCCTTCTTCCACTACGGAAAAAAATATATTAACCTCACAACCCGTAGCCTGTGGTTATTACAGAGCACCACTATTTCATGACTGCAACAATACAGACAAAAATGACCAATGACGTGAACACAATAACACATTCCTTCCCATTGTCTCAACTAACATAGTGTCTGGAATCAAGGGTGGTGGGTTAGCCTACTGGTTAAAACGTTGCTCTTCACGCCGAAGACCCGGGTTCGATTCTCCACATGGGTGCAATGTGTGAAGCCCATTTCTGGTGTCCTCCGCCGTGATATTGCTGGAATGTTGCTAAAAGCGGCGTAAAACCATACTCACTCACTCTTTACTTATTGCTCAAGTGATGTGAACTGGAATACTTTTAGATGAATTCATATTGATTTTCCGGCTGCCTACAACTCAGGTTATAGTCTCAAGTGTTAAAACATGTCCTATTTCGTATCACGGCCTATAGATCACATGGCGCCATTCCAATGTATTGAATTTGACGTATATATAAACTGAGGGGCAAAAGAAACGCGGGCTTCTAACTTTCTCTTCCAATACAAACATAGGACAAGGTTTGGCAACAGATATCATTGTATTTCGCAGACACAACAATTAACATCAGGTTGACCGACTTTAACAACCACATGATGACATTGTAAAGAATAGTGAGCATTCTTGTAACAGGTGTTGAATTGTCCATAATTCGTTCACATTCCATTTCATGTTATCACTACACAAATCAGTTAAAAGTCACATTCCGTCATCAATAGGGAGTGTGTCCACCTCTAGCAAGTATGAGGTCCCTGACACGACGTCGTTATAGTTCTATGGGATTCATGTCATGGGATCTGGCTGGCCACGGAAGAACTTGTATGTTGTTGACATTGAAATATTCTCTGGTAACACGTGCAGTGTGTGGAGTGGCGTTATCCTGTTGGAACAGCGTTTTGGGGTTATTCTGCAGGAATGGAAGCACGACTGGTGTCAATACCTGGTTGATGTAGCGGTCAGCGTTGAGGGTACCATTAATAACCACCAGGTCGGTCTGAGTGTCACAACAAGTACCACCCCAGATCATCACACCACCGCCGCCGGGAGGATGCACTTCTTGGACGCAGCAACGTGACGTTCGTTCTCCTCTACGCCGGTAAACTCGCACTCGGCCGTCAGCACTGTAAAGCTGGAACCTGCTTTCATCCGAAAACCGCACTTTGCCCCAATGTCGTCTTTGCCAGCGTTGCACAATACGAGCCCACCTCAATCTGTTTGAGTCGATGTTGCCGGGTCAAGGTCATTCCTCTAAGGGGCCGGTAAGCTCTCAAACAAAAATGGCTGGGACGTCAGTTGCCCCAATCTGCAACATCCCTATCGCTCTCTCTCGCTGCTCAGACGTCAAACGTTGGCAATTTTGTTGGTGAAATCTAAACGATTCAATGCTAAGGAAGGATTCTGAGCATGATTTATACACCATCCTTGCACCGAATTTTCCTTATGCATTTTCTCGAAAACCCCGAATAACCCATATTTCATAGAAAAATCGTGATGCAGATTTAACCCGAGGCCAAAGCAATGACTGTTGCGTTTTGGAGAATGTTCTTATAATGTCTCTAACCATGGTTTTAGGTGTGGATTAAAATTGTGTCAACGTTTATAAATCCAGCGTTTCTTTTGCCCCTGAGTTTATGTTTAAGTGTAGTTACGAAACTAGTGCATTGTACGTTCTGTTCTGTTGTCGAAAATAACATGTGCCTACCCAACAATATGATTTTCAACTTTAAAAATATAAAATGTTGGGCGAAATGTTGGATACATTTATAAGAAAATGCTGTGTATTCTACGTACAAATGAATGTAATTTGTAAATGTGTTTTATGCATCGATAAATGTATATTTTCACTTGTTCATGCAGCAGTATTTATTACATGTATGTAGTATCCTTAAAAACCAAAGCAAAAGTTTGCTCTTACATTGGGATGGTGAGTCTATGAGCTTAAACAGTACATCCAGATGAAACATTCAGTATGTAAGTATAGCATAACACCGCGTCAACGAGGGTGCAGGTATTCGCGACAACAGATTTATTAGCATTTGTGAATAGTCATTTTTTAGACGCAACAGATCTAAGTATTAATGTCTTCTGTTTCTTGTGGCTCAAGTAACTTGTTTGTAGGGCCCTTATTAGCTTTGGTATCTGCTTATGACTTTCTCAGGTGGAGTACGACTCCCCAACGCAAGGGAGTTAACTGTGTAAAAAGTCCAGTTTCCTCCCTTGCCGGGTTTTGGTGGAATTTCGTGCCTCGATCGTAGCGCCCCAGTGGTTATATGAGTTATGTCACTTATGTTACATGTGACTGTCTGTGTTGTGTATTCGTGAGTTACGTCCCTTTTACTGGCCAATGAGATTCCATCTCTCATATCACCTGCAAGACTATGTGTGCCAAATATGCATTATGTCGGAAAGTGCACGTTACAACTCCAAATAATCATCATCATCATCATCATCATGACGATGATGTTTAATTAAGATTGCGAATTCTCATGATCTTGCCAATTGAACATTTAAATCTCAGAATTGTATTCAACTTAGGATAAAAGTTGTTTAACAAATGATCATAGATTCAAATCGCTATTATTGGTTTATATTACAAGGGGGTATGCACATTAAATGAAACACCGAGAAAAAGTTGGGTTGGTCTAAGTTAACGCTCATCACGTACCGCACGTGCACTTGTTTCATTGTTCCAACTACTGAGCTTACCCCCTTGTAATACAAACCGATAACTGCAATTAGAATCTATGATGGTTTGTTAAACAACTTTTATCCTAAGTTGAATAAAATTCTGAGATTTAAATGCTCAGTTGGCAAGGTAAACTTGTGAGGATTCGCAATCTTAATTTCACTTTATTTGATTTACTTTTTGGTTTAAAGTGAAATTCATCGGTACGTTTTCACTGCAAACAGACTATAGTCATGTTCGGCAAGGGAGATAACTGTCTTTTTTAAAGTGAGTTTACTCCCTTGCCTCGGGAAGATTGTCCAACAGAGCAGAAAGAAGGAAGCTGCATGGACTCAATGCCATATATGTAGGAGGATCGTCGTCTTAATAGGAGTTTTACTACCTGCCAGGCAAAAGAAACTTGATAATTGGCTTTTACCAGAAAATTACAACCTTAGCAAACTGTTCCTGGGGTGAAAACGGTCGCCAAAGCATTGCAGATATGAACATGGCATACCATCAACACATGTGTGTAACTGACCTCCTCGCATTCCTTGAATAAACAAACTTTAGGTCTAAACCCCAACTATACTCGCATCACATACATCACCACCGAACAACCGTCAAACATGTGTATAGAATTTCTTTGCTCGGCAGACTGGTATTATATCATATAATGAATGGTAGATGAAGAACTTGATTTATTTATCAAAACAAGTCAGTGTTGTTTCACATATGTTAACATAATATTACATGCAATACCTTGCCAGTACGACATCTCACAATATATCCTTCAAATACACGTCTGTTTGGCAACACATAATGACAAGGAAATTAAATGGTCAGAGCATTGCATAAAAGTACAGAAGATTGTTCTTTTTTCAATTTTGTCCGGCTTGTACACGTATATATTATACTATTCTGTATATACTGGAACCCTATATGTCGCTGCACAGAAGGGGGTATGTAATCCACACCACAGGAGTGACAACTGTAATATCACATGAGCAATGGTGACTATAGGATGGGAGTTGTTATCAGTACTGGTGCACCACGTCGTCCGGTGGTTCTGACCAGCGCCATATTGTCTCCCTGCGGCTTGTAACTATGTACAGTTGTAAATATTGTGATAACGATGTGGCCATAATTTGTGAATATGTTACTGGCCCGAGATTGAAGTGTGCCTACAAATGAATCACAGATACATGGACCAAGGCGTGACGCGTCACGTCGTCATGACTAAATACCACCAGCACTACCACCACTAATCTCTCTGAATATGTTTTACACACAAATCTTGTCTTGTTGAGCGTCATTTAGATTTGATACTTTTTACTAAGAAATGTTTTTGTGACAGTGCAAAGCCCTCCTTCCCAGGGTGCACCTCCCAACACCGAGACATTGTCTCAAAGACTGGATCTCGTCGCATCTGCAATTCAGCGAGACCCCGAGCCACGCCTTTCCGTGTATGGAGTTCTAGCTTCGACACAATCTTGTCCCCAACTCTTCTCGGGCGCTTCATCTTCAGCCTCTTATGGATGAACTGTCCTGCAAGTACCACATAGCTACAGTATCAAAGTGGTGACGGGGAACACATAGCTACAGTATCAAAGTGGTGACGGGGAACACATAGCTACAGTATCAAAGTGGTGACGGGGAACACATAGCTACAGTATCAAAGTGATGACGGGGAACACATAGCTACAGTATCAAAGTGGTGACGGGGAACACATAGCTACAGTATCAAAGTGGTGACGGGGAACACATAGCTACAGTATCAAAGTGGTGACGGGGGAACACATAGCTACAGTATCAAAGTGGTGACGGGGAACACATAGCTACAGTATCAAAGTGGTGACGGGGAACACATAGCTACAGTATCAAAGTGGTGACGGGGAACACATAGCTACAGTATCAAAGTGGTGACGGGGAACACATAGCTACAGTATCAAAGTGGTGACGGGGAACACATAGCTACAGTATCAAAGTGGTGACGGGGAACACATAGCTACAGTATCAAAGTGATGACGGGGAACACATAGCTACAGTATAAAGTGATGACGGGGAAACACATAGCTACAGTATCAAAGTGGTGACGGGGAACACATAGCTACAGTATCAAAGTGGTGACGGGGAACACATAGCTACAGTATCAAAGTGGTGACGGGGAACACATAGCTACAGTATCAAAGTGGTGACGGGGAACACATAGCTACAGTATCAGAGTGGTGACGGGGAACACATAGCTACAGTATCAAAGTGGTGACGGGGAACACATAGCTACAGTATCAAAGTGGTGACGGGGAACACATAGCTACAGTATCAAAGTGGTGACGGGAAACACATAGCTACAGTATCAAAGTGGTGACGGGGAACACATAGCTACACACATAGCTACAGTATCAAAGTGATGACGGGGAACACATAGCTACATTATCAAAGTGGTGACGGGGAACACATAGCTACAGTATCAAAGTGGTGACGGGGAACACATAGCAAAGTGGTGACGGGGAACACATAGCTATCAAAGTGGTGACGGGGAACACATAGCTACAGTATCAAAGTGGTGACGGAAACACATAGCTACAGTATCAAAGTGATGACGGGGAACACACACATGAGCGGGGAACACATTATCAAAGTGGTGACGGGGAACACATAGCTACATTATCAAAGTGATGACGGAGAACACATAGCTACAGAATAAAGTGATGACGGGGAACACGTAGCTACATTATCAAAGTGATGACGGGGAACACATAGCTACATTATCAAAGTGGTGACGGGGAACACATAGCTACAGTATCAAAGTGATGACGGGGAACACATAGCTACAGTATCAAAGTGATGACGGGGAACACATAGCTACATTATCAAAGTGATGACGGGGAACACATAGCTACATTATCAGAGTGGTGACAAGGAACACATAGCTACAGTATCAGAGTGATGACGGAGAACACATAGCTACAGTATAAAGTGATGACGGGGAACACGTAGCTACATTATCAAAGTGATGACGGGGAACACATAGCTACATTATCAAAGTGGTGACGGGGAACACGTAGCTACATTATCAAAGTGATGACGGGGAACACGTAGCTACATTATCAAAGTGATGACGGGGAACACATAGCTACATTATCAAAGTGATGACGGGGAACACGTAGCTACATTATCAAAGTGATGACGGGGAACACATAGCTACAGTATCAGAGTGGTGACTGGGAACACATAGCTACAGTATCAGAGCGGTGACGGTGAATACATAGCTACAGTGTAAAGTAATGACGGGGAACACATAGCTACATTATCAAAGTGGTGACGGGGAACACGTAGCTACATTATCAACGTGGTGACAAGGAACACATAGCTACAGTATCAGAGTGGTGACGGGGAACACATAGCTACATTATCAAAGTGGTGACTGGGAACACATAGCTACATTATCAAAGTGGTGACGGGGAACACAGCTACAGTATCAAAGTGGTGACGGGGAACACATAGCTACATTATCAAAACGGTGACGGGGAACACATAGCTACAGTATCAAAGTGGTGACGGGGAACACATAACTACAGTATCAAAGTGGTGACGGGGAACACATAGCTACAGTATCAAAGTGGTGACGGGGAACACGTAGCTACATTATCAAAGTGGTGACGGGGAACACGTAGCTACATTATCAAAGTGGTGACGGGGAACACGTAGCTACATTATCAGAGTGGTGACTGGGAACACATAGCGACAGTATCAAAGTGGTGACGGGGAACACATAGCTACATTATCAAAGTGGTGACGGGGAACACGTAGCTACATTATCAAAGTGTTGACGGGCAACACATAGCTACATTATCAAAGTGGTGACGGGGAACATATAGCTACATTATCAAAGTGATGACGGGGAACACATAGCTACAGTATCAAAGTGATGACGGGGAACACATAGCTACAGTATCAAAGTGATGACGGGGAACACATAGCTACATTATCAACGTGGTGACAAGGAACACATAGCTACATTATCAGAGTGGTGACTGGGAACACATAGCTACAGTATCAGAGTGGTGACGGAGAACACATAGCTACAGTATAAAGTGATACAGATAGCAACATTATTACAGGAGAACACGAAGTGCATGTAGTTACATTATTAAGGTGGTCACAGGTTCCATATAGCTAGAATATTCAGGTAGATATTGCGACGCTATTTAGGTGTTCACGGGGTGGCAATAGCTACTTCGGTTAGGTGTTACCGGGCACATATAACTACAAAATTTAGGTTTGCCAACAAGTATTACTAGCTATTGTACATAGTGCCATATATGCATGACGTATGTTATTGCACATACTCATATTGTAGCTATGTGTGAACGTGACGTACCAAGCAGCCCCGTGGTGTTTCTGGAAAGTTTCCCTTCTTTATCTAGCTCTATGTTGAGAAACTCCTCCCCAGCCCCTGAGTTCCTGGGAACATGCTTGAATATGGTCGCAGTGAATCCTCCCTTCAGCCCGACCCTCACCGACCTCACATTGTGCTGACTGGTGATATTTGCTTGTGGCATCTTGTGCATGATGTCATCAGTCCACTCATACCTCCACTTGTTTACCCTGATGTCGCCTCGCGTCGCCGTCAGCGCCAGACCGTCCAGCATGACGGCGACCTTCACAATGTATGTCCTTCCTGGGCTGTGGTCACGGTTCACCTGGATGTTGATGGTCAAGCCTGGGGAGAGGTCATACTTGTATTTTGTAGCAAGAAAACTCAAAATTTAAACTCTCACGGGGTATTGAGGATCTCGGCTTCTTCGAAAAGATATCATGATAGGTACACTGACACCTGTAATTGATGTCCATACCACACCACAATTTTCGAAACCGTTCTGGACCTCAGAAGTGAAGGTAGCAACACCGTGAACGGCCTGCATGTTTAGTGTTTAATTCTATTATCAAAGAAGTACGATATTAGTCTTTCATATTTAAACAAACCTTCATTCACCATGACGTATTTTTTTTCTATCAATCAATTATCGACTAAGATTAATTATCTGCTATCATCACTTACATGTAGACTTTAGTTATCGAAATATGACAACCTGCAATCGTCAACGTTACATTCACAAATCTTCTTCGATATTCATTAGTCACAAAATACAAAACCACAGTTGAAAATATGTAAGTAACATCAAACCAAATTGAAGTACCGAGCAATGGATCCTTAATGATTTGGAACACATCATGTGGCTTGCCAGTGACGTCGAAACACAGCTGATCATCCAGCCATGCTGTCTTCAGCATGAAGTGTGGATCCCGACCACCTGTAGAGAAACACCTGGTGTCACATAGAGGGAGTGATGTGGTCATGTCTACCGCTCATGCCACAAGTACAACGCAAACGTCTTAAAAGTTAAAAAGTGATAGCATTATAATGACCACCCAAACCACAGTAGTCGGTTGAACTTCTATAAATCCAGCGATACACATCCAGAGAAAAGATGAAATCATCCTTGGTCATATACGTGAAAGTCAAATGTTTGAACAGCGAGCCTACCGTGCGTATCTAAGTACTTTCATATACTGAAAGCTTCAGGTGATTTGGAATGAGATATTGAAATTGAAAATCGATATATTCCAATAACTTCATGTACGCCTACCTCGACTGCTCCATCCGCCACGACCGTACGAATCTGCAATGTATGCTTATATTTAAATAAGGTATATGTTCTCAAGAAACATTATTATCATTATGCCATGCATACAGAAATTGAGCAATCAAACAAATGTTGTTCATTTCATGACACAAAGCATCGATAAAACGTCAAATCCATCATATAGACTGGTCTGTATAGTTTTAAAGCTGTTACGTAAATGTAGTGACTGGTATTGCAAAGTATCGGAAACAGGAGATGTGTTTGCTATCTGTAGACCATATGTATGCTGACCCTCAGTAGCATCGCTTTCCTCCTGTAGGGGGCGCTCCTCAAAAACGTCACCATCAAACTGGATCAAGACCATTGACGTCAGTGGGGTCACGAGGTTATACTGAAAACAGAACACTTTAACTGTAACGCTGTAATATTGCAACATAGTAATATTTAACATAATAATGTTGTAACATAGTAATATTGTAACATAGTAATGTTGTAACATAGTAATATTGTAACATAGTAATGTTGTAACATAGTAATATTGTAACATAGTAATATTGTAACATAGTAATATTGTAAAATAGTAATATTGTAACAGAGTAATATTGTAACATAGTAATATTGTAACATAGTAATATTGTAAAATAGTAATGTTGTAACATAGTAATATTGTAACATAGTAATGTTGTAACATAGTAATATTGTAACATAGTAATATTGTAAAATAGTAATATTGTAACAGAGTAATATTGTAACATAGTAATGTTGTAACATTGTAATACTGTAATATTGTAACATCGTAATATTGTTATGTAACTGAAATCAGTTAGAAATATTTAATATCATGGCGATCTCTAACTGAACTGGCAACACAGGGACATAATTCTGTAATCGTATTCATAAAAATAAGAAATTTGAAGGGCTCAATGTACGACGTTTTCACCAGTGAGTGAGTGAGTTTAATTTTTTACGCCGCACTCAGCAATATTCCAGCTTTATGGCGGCGGTCTGTAAATAATCGAATCTGGACCAGACAATCCAGTGATCAACAGCATGAGCATCGATCTGCGCAACTGGGAACCGATGACATGTGTCAAACAAGTCAGCGAGCCTGTCCACCCGATCCCGTTAGTCGCTTCTTACGACAAGCATGGGTTACTGAAAATCAATATTCTAATCCGGACCTTCACGTGTAACGTTTTTACCAGATTGTGTTTACGAATCATCGTCCAAAACAAACACCAATAACATATTAACAGCTAGAACACTTCAGTTTCGTATAAACATTATAAAAATTACCTTTAGAGACATTTCAACGGCCTTTCTCTTCAAACTTGCTTTTTGGCCTGGGTCCATTGCTCCTTCGTACTGCCTGATGAGATCTTTAATGGTCAGATATGCCCAAATTTTTTTCCGTTACCTCTTCGAATGGTGTAAATGCAATTTGCCTTTCAGTTTCATCAGCTGGAATGAGTTCATCTACACCGGCTTTGAGTTTCAAGTCGACAATTTCGCCGTCATTGTTGCCACTGACAACAAGGGAGAGAACTCCAACATCATCTTTAGCTAGTTTCCCAGCAACCACAACCTCTGAACCATTGAAGAGGTTTTTGAAGGACGATTTCGTCACAGTTGTCTCATTTGCTGCATCTTCTAAATATGTAAATTCTACTCCACTTAGAATAGGTGTCGCTATTTCTTTATAGAAATCAGTAATTTGAAGAGCAGCGTCCGCCTCCTCGTAGATTCTTCTTCCCACGCCATTGTTCTGAATGGCGACTGTTTTTACGAATGACCAATCAGCGTCGTCCCCAAAAGCGAGACTGTAAATCGGAATCTCGTAGATGTTACGAGATCTAACGTTCGACAAGATGGCTTCGTTTCCAGTAACTCCTGTTGAAGCTTGTCCGTCGGTCAAGAAAATTAACAGTGACCTATTTTCACTAGCGTACTGATTCATGAACTCCAAACCGTTGATTAAAGCTTCGTAGATGTTAGTAGCTGAATATACAAAGGAAACAATGTTTTGGCAAAACAAATACAGACAGATGCAATGTTTACATATTATATGAAATAGATCACATTAATAGAGATATGTTATCTTCCAAGTTGCCACAATTCTGGATTCGAATCCCATTTGTGGACAACGTTCTCATTACATCGGATTGTCCTCATTATTTCACCTGTTACGCCGAGATAGACCACGGACGCTGACAATGGCAGCGTGTCTTTAACTGGAATATGTACCCGAGGCACACGTTCGGGTACAAAAGTATTTAAAAGTAGGCTCCATACTGGAGCGTGGTCCTACCTCCATTGGAGTACAGATTTGACACGTAGTCAACAGCTATCTTCACATTCTCATCGGACACTGACAGCAGCTGGTTGTCCTGCCAGAGGTCCGCCTCCGTGTTGAACTCCAGTATGTTGAAGCGGTCGCCGGCGCGAAGATCCTTCAGAATGGCTGTCATGGCGAGTTTAAGCTGTAGCATCTTCCGAATGGCCATGGAAGAGCTGGTATCGAGAATGAATAGAATGTCTTTCGACACAGCATTGTCGATCTTGGGGCCAAAAAAGTGAACAAAATATCCGTTTACAACCTGAAAGGAAATGATAAACAAGTGAAAATACTATCTGTCTTTCAGTTTAGGTGATACGAGATTTCGTGCAGATTAATAACATGTACATAAATATTTAGGACACTGTGAGATAATTCGCAACAATAGAAGTATGAACTTATACTAGGTGTTCTGTTTTGTAGTAAGTGCAATCAACAAGAAAAGTAATAATGTAAGGGTATAAGTGTTTGCTTGTGTTGCAAGAATTTCCTGTCGTGATAATGCAGGATTATTAGATAAAGTGCAGAAAAAGCATTATTATCCACATTCTACATTTCTACATACAAGTACATCCCCGGCGTCCTTGCCCCGACTGACGTCATACTCCACAACAACGGATGTCGGGAGACCTCCGGCGCTGGCGTTCTGTTGAGTTGCTGTGGAAGGCTGGTAGCGGATATATGCTGTGTTCTTCGTCGGCATGGTTACCATAGACTCGGCGCTGATCTCTGTATATGCAACAACAGCCTTTGTCTTATTTCCGAACATCATACTGTATCTTTGCCAGCGATGAACTGCATTTATTCTAAAGTATTAACTGCCGGGCATGCAGATCGCAACGTTTCTTCGTATATACAAGAGAGCTAAGATAATGTTTTTCATGGTGTATCTAGTTGAACAACTAGGCCCCTGACAGTGGAATAGTCACTCACAATATCAACCATCGGGTTTCTGCGTTACTTGCATTCCGCTGGTTGTACATTGCAAAACAATTTATTAAGAAGTCCCGTCGCCAGACAGTATGTTTGTCTGTTGTTTGTTTTTGGTTGGGGTAAGACTTTATTCATGTTCATGCAGGATATTTCATGCTGATATGAGCTTATCGTGGAAAACCGTGTGAACCACTAACATGATTTCATTAGTGGTTTATGAAATGAGGCATGCCTTTCTCAGGTCTACACACACACACTCTCACACAGAGAGAGAGAGAGAGAGAGAGAGAGAGAGAGAGAGAGAGAGAGAGAGAGAGAGAGAGAGAGAGAGAGAGAGAGAGAGAGAGAGAGAGAGAGAGAGAGAGAGAGAGAGAGAGAGAGGGAGAGAGAGAGAGAGAGAGAGAGAGAGAGAGAGAGAGAGAGAGAGGGGGGAGAGAGAGGGAGAGAGAGAGAGAGAGAGGGGGGGAGGGAGAGAGGGAGGGAGAGATATCGGTGTGCACTACATCCCTGTTTAAATGTACATACATGACCCAACTAAAGAACTAACCAGTTATGTCGACGTCGGTCACCAGGTTTCTGTTTTTGATGGGTAGAACCTTGAGGTAAGTGAGGTCACGTGACTCCTGGATGGCAACATCTACCCTGAGGTCAGGTACGGGTTCGGCCAGGTTGAGGTACGTCACCTGCTTGTATGTACCCAGCCGGCGTTGAAGTACCTCTTGGTAGGTCAGATGGAAGGTGGCCACGGACCTTGGTGCAATGTCCACGCCAATTGTGAAACGGTTAGTATTCCGTGGTCTGCAAACATTAGCTGTTGATTAGTAAACATGATATGACGTCATCAGGTAATCTCACCACTTGGTCGAAGCCGTCTGATAGACGATAATATAAAACATCTGGGCAAAATATTACCCAATCTTGACTATCCTCAGTAACAAATTAATTTTTGTATAAAGGGAAAACAACTGTGAAAACTATATGAATGGAGCACTGAAAATCAGTGATGACACCAGGTGTTCGCGAAAAGGGAAAGCATGTCCTGCCCTGACTGTGGCACCCGCCATTCACAAAACTATTGTTTGTCTGACGCGCCATGGCAGTTTTCCTGCTATGCGACAGTGGCTTAAACCAGCCAATCAAGTGCTCGATGAAAAGGAAAATCCAGCTTAGATATGTTGAATTATTATTGCTGTGTAGAAAAGATTCCGAAGCTTTTTAGCATGATGGGAAAGCCACAATTTAACTCAGTGCGCCTTGTGACTGCAAGATTTGTATGATCCCCAGGGAGTTGAGATTGATGATACTATTACAATGTACCGTTTGAGACTGACATCCAGTGATCGAGGGAAAAAAAAGCGGCTTTGAGCAGATGAGCTGGATATTGGCGCTATACAAATATAAACATAATTATAAGTAAACAAGAACTTTTGGGAAGTACATTTGCTTTACAACACATTGGGTATCAGTTATAATATACATCAACTGTCAAAGTAAAAGTGTATATCTCATAGCAGGTGCACAGTATGTATTGTATCACATGTCATTGCTATGTTGTATATGTCAAATCACCTGTCAGAGTAATAGTGTGTATCACTTAACAGCTATAAATGATATAATGTGATATATATATTTGATACATGTTAACAGTCTATGCCTTACAGTAGCTAAGGGCTTATGTCTTATGCTATCATCTTTGATTGAAATCATAATTCTGTTAGCAATTGAATACTGTCATACATCTAATACCACCTGTATCTGACGTTAACAACCTGTCATCTGATAGACTATAAGTGAATATCAAAGTTATCAACAGTAAGATGGTGATAGGGGCTATCGTCCATATCTCACCGCACCCGCCTGTCTGGATATTGCTAGAATATCGGTACACAAAGGACGTATCTACTCACCACTCAGTCTGATGACGATCAGGTATATATCAGAGAGAGATATATACTTACAAAAGAGATTTCACATGGAACAAAGAAGAAGTGAGGTTACAAGGGGGTACAAGTCGACCTACCTGATCTTGTGTTGGCTGTCTACAGACTGACCACGTCTCCTGGTCTTAATGCGTACACTGCTGGATGAAGTCTTTTCCCGGACAACTCCCGTGTACGTCTTGCCGTCTACCTCTCTGAAACACCACCAGAGTAGCAGTAGTTCCCTATCTGACTGTGTTCATGTGGGGTTATCGTGTAGTATTAGATGTTACTGATGTACATAAGTAAAGTGTGGTTGTACAGTGGTGTGATTGGAATTGCATAGACTCGTGTCCACCCTAATTTATACATGTAAATACAGTTGTGTGATTAGAACTACATATACACGTGGCCAGGTTAGATTATAAGTATATACAGATGTGTGATTGGAATTGCATATACTCGTGGCCACCCAAGGTTATTTATACAGTTGTGTGAATAGAACTACATAGACACGCATCCACCTTAGCAGATAGATACGTACACTTGTGTGATTGGAACTGCATAGACATGCGATGAGCTTAGTATACAGTTGTGTGATTGAGCTACATAGACACGTGATGAGCTTAGGTTATATATACAGTTGTGTGATTGAGCTACATAGACATGCGATGAGCTTAGGTTATATATACAGTTGTGTGATTGAGCTACATAGACACGTGATGAGCTTAGGTTATATAGACACGTGATGAGCTTGAGGTTATATATACAGTTGTGTGATTGAGCTACATAGACACGCGATGAGCTTAGGTTATATATACAGTTGTGTGATTGAGCTACATAGACACGTGATGAGCTTAGGTTTATTTACGTCATATACAGTTGTTGAGCTTGTGTGAGCTACATAGACACGTGATGAGCTTAGGTTATATATACAGTTGTTGGATTGAGCTACATAGACACGTGATGAGCTTAGGTTATATATACAGTTGTGTGATTGAGCTACATAGACACGTTGATGAGCTTACCTTATATTACACTGCGTGTGATTGAGCTATGATGAGCTTAGCCATACAGTTGTGTGATTGATGATGAGCTTACATAGACACGTGATGAGCTTAGGTTATATATACAGTTGTGTGATTGAGCTACATAGACACGTGATGAGCTTAGGTTATATATACAGTTGTGTGATTGAGCTATATAGACATGCGATGAGCTTAGGTTATATATACAGTTGTGTGATTGAGCTACATAGACACGTGATGAGCTTAGGTTATATATACAGTTGTGTGATTGAGCTACATAGACACGTGATGAGCTTAGGTTATATATACAGTTGTGTGATTGAGCTACATAGACACGTGATGAGCTTAGGTTATATATACAGTTGTGTGATTGAGCTACACAGACACGCGATGAGCTTAGGTTATGTATACAGTTGTGTGATTAGAACTACATAGACACGTGACCAGGTTAGCTAATAGATCCAGTTGTGTGATTGAGCTACAAAGACACGTGATGAGCTTAGGTTATATATACAGTTGTGTGATTGAGCTACATAGACACGTGATGAGCTTAGGTTATATATACAGTTGTGTGACTTGAGCTTACATAGACACGTGATGAGCTTAGGTTATATATACAGTTGTGTGATTGGAATTTCATAGACACGTGGAAACAAAGGAACGTATGTACCAGTCTTACAGAGAGAAGTTTGAGATGAAGGCCTCACTAGGAATGATGACATCAAACACAGCCTCGCTTGGAAGATCCCCGTCGTTGGCGAGCTGGCTGCTGATGTGGGTGGAGGCGAACCGGTATTTGATCTGCGAGGTGACGTGCAGAGACCTGACGCGGGGAGGCTGTAACACAATCAGCTGTACTTGATGTTATATATCATCTGTCATGCAGAGACCTGACGCGGGGAGGCTGTAACACAATCAGCTGTACTTGATGTTATATATCGCCTGTCAAGCAGAGACCTGACGCGGGAAGGCTGTAACACAATCAGCTGTACTTGATGTCATATATTGCCTGTCATGCAGAGACCTGACACGGGAAGGCTGTAACACAACCAGCTGTACTTGATGTTATATATCATCTGTCATGCAGAGACCTGACGCGGGAAGGCTGTAACACAATCAGCTGTACTTGATGTCATATATTGCCTGTCATGCAGAGACCTGACACGGGAAGGCTGTAACACAATCAGCTGTACTTGATGTCATATATTGCCTGTCATGCAGAGACCTGACACGGGAAGGCTGTAACACAATCAGCTGTACTTGATGGTATATATTGCCTGACACTGATTGGTGCATATCTCATAGAGGCTGGTCATGATAGTATATATATGGCATGTCAATGTTTTATATTATACCCGACAGAAAAAGGTCATGATGATATAAATCGTCATTGTTGTAGTACATACAGTGTACATATGCTATGGTGTATCTTTCATCATAACAGTGTATATCTCATAGCAGTATCATAATTCCTTCAGCAGTTGTATCATGCCAGATACTACCTGCAATAATAGCAGATATCTAATAGCAGTATCATAATTCCTTCAGCAGTTGTATCATGCCAGATACTACCTGCAATAATAGCAGATATCTAATAGCAGCTGTAGACGATGTTATAAACTGTCTGTGTTGGTAATAGTGAATATCTAATGACAACTGTATGGTGATGTAATGCTATCTGCCCATAGGACATACCCATAGCAGTATACAGTACATACTGTGCTAGCCTACATGACAATAGTGGAATTCCCATGGTAACTGTTCGCGACGATAAATGATACCTGACATAATATATAACACTTAAAATATCGCAGCAACAGCATTTTTCAAAATCTATTAATTACCTTTTCTGTTCAAACAATTGTCAAAATATGTAACAAAAGTATTCATACCATGATTTGACACAATTGCACAAGTAAAAAATCGAATTTAACTGAAAATGTTGATTTTTATGAGATTTCTTACGAGGATTAAAAACGTAACACCACAACGCAACAAAAATCTCCTTCCAGTTGAAATTGTGCAGCAAAGAGCATGTACTGTCTGGCTATAAAAATCCAGATTACTTTCGGAAATCAGCATTCATTTTTAAGGAGTTTCAAGGTCAAATCACTACGCCACGTCTTGACGCTGCGACACGGAACATCGTCATTGAAAGAATGCACGCTGGAGATTACCAATCGTCTGTTGCCAGGCGTCTGAATGTTAGTCTGAGCAAGATATCACTGCTTGCAGCTCGTTACAACCAAACAGGTACAACAAATGACCGTCCCCGTACAGGGAGACCTCGAGTCACCACTGCAGCCCAAGATCGGTACATCCGGTTACTACATTTGCGTGATCGTACTGCCACAGGTGAGAGCACAGCAGCCAGGGTGCCTGGACTTCGGAGGATATCCGGTCAAACTGTACCGAACAGGCTGAGAGAGATTGGACTTATACCCAGGAGACCCGACGTCGGGACCGTGCTACGTCGTCACCATCGCGCTAAACGTCTCCGTTATATACAATTATCAACTTGGTTGTAAAGACATTTCAATCTTCTAAACTGATGTAAAAATTCATGCACTAAAGTCTATTTGTGGACGAGTTATACATGTTTGAAAATACAACATTTTCGCAACAGATTTCTGGCCTATGCGTTTCTTTTTGCGTATATATGTAAAAAGTGCGCTATACCCTATACTATATATGACCTGTGGAGGCAATGTGCATATGCATCTGTAGGTGATACTGTATGGTATCTGTCATGGTGCCATTGTATATCATAGAACAGCTGTACAGGATGGTACACTTTGCCTACTTACTGTTAGTGGAGCTAAAGGGGTCGTTGTCTGCACAGGTACTACAGATACGTACCCCAGGTACGTTTCTGTATACAGATATGTACCCTAAACAAAGTCACAATACAGAGACGTACCCGGTACCCTAAAAGGCGGACGAGTCCATATTCCGCAATCCAAAACCGAAACCGCAAGTAGTAGTTCCGGTTCAACTGACTGCAAGTGGTATTCATCATCGCGAAATATCCGTTACTGTGTATTCTCATTACTTACATAAAGCAATCAAATGTATCTAATACAACAGCATGACAGTTCCGATCAAGAATACGACACAATGGGAATGGAATCGTCCTAGAGTACGTTTCTGTATTCTCATTATGGCCAGGGTACGTTTCTGTATACAGAAACGTACCTGGGGTACATATCTATAGTACCCGTGCCGACAACGACCCCTTCAGCGTTAGTGGATATGTCATAATCAGCTGTACAGGATCGTATGTAGTTACCTCAGAAACTGTACTCTCATATATGGAAATATTCATGTAATTGTTGAGTACCCGTAGCTCACGAATGTTACACACCCAAGACGTGCCCACAGCATATCCTGAAATTGTAGGGGTGGATAAAAAAGACACCACATGTTTTGCCTATGCTAGGAAACGAACCCTGGCCTTTGACTTTATGGGTGAGCGTTTTAAAGCCGTTAGCCTATGCCACCTCCACAACTGAGAGAACAACGGTGCAATACTGTTTTTCAATCCACTTCATCGTGTGGTGGGCATATTTGTGGCTTGAGTGAGCCTTGTCCTGAAATAAATGTTTACAGGATGCGGTAACGTTCCTGGACGGAACTGTTCCTTGTAAATCATTCATACCACAGACGGCCATTGATTGGTTAGAATGGACTGTAGCGACATCTGGTGGCCATGTGGCGACATGTCCAGACTCGGGCTGAAGTCGGGACCGGCTACTCTAGACTGTTTGTGTTACAGTTGAAGGAGAAGAAACTTGAAACGAACCGCCAAGAATTGACTACAATATGACCGAGACACTGTGACTTCAGCCTGCAGAACACATGTACAATTGTCCTTGGCATCAGGATTTAAGATTAAAGATAATGATGTTTATATTTCATATGAGGGATTGTGTGTGAATTACAATCTTTTCAAAGCACCATTGGTTTCTAGAAATGCTGTGTATTTATAATCTATATTTCAAGGCGGATAACGTTTACAGAAATTGACAATACCTGTTTTAAATTTACTCCTGGTTCACACGGATTGTTAATAGATTTATTTTCAGTCAGCAGCAGGCGGATATAATGGAACATTGCCCTCAGGTGACCTCAATTAGAGTGTTTTCAACAGTTCGCTGAAAGCAGGCCCTGAACAAGAGAGGTACAGGTGATTGTCATTCAAGATCTACAGTCACCTACGCACTGCCGTTTGTATTCTCCCATACAGTGGAAACACTCTTACAATATAGGTTACGATACAGGATTGTTGACGTGTTCAACATACTTAAGTGTCTCACCTCTGAACTTCATTGCAATACACGTACAGCTAACAATGAATGCATTGTCTGCAACACATGACATGTGCATGGATAGTGTTGACGCTGAAGCCGAGTTCTGGGACTGAACGTTATCAAATGAACGCGGGGTGCTGGATATTCCACACCTTGTATCCCTTGCTTTGAATTGGCGTATGTCAATTTGTGACAAATGCCTCCCCATTATGTCTGATCGGGTCACAAGTAGTTATATGGGAACATAAACCGAATCACATGGATCATAATTTCACTGGAACACAATGTTTTCATAAACTCGGTTAACAGGAATCAATACCACGAGGCACTTACAAAATGACGTATTAGTTTTCAGAACTTCCGGCAGCAGTCCAACAGGCGATGTGAAAACAGATTCTACAGAAGGTGAATTTAAAACAATTTAAAATAATTTAGCCATGTTAACTATATATTTCCATAGATAACAGAACGTCATTGCCACAGATTATCCAGTCTCATCCATATCTAGATTCCATTGAACCGTAAAAGTCAATATTGTGGTGATTATTGGAACTGATCAGTGAAAATCCGAGATGACACCAGGGTTTGCAAAAAAGAGTAAGCATGACCTGCCCCACCGTTGGCACCCGCTACTCGCTACTTTTCATAAGTACACTCTTCAAAAAAGAAAAGAAAAGCGTAGGCCCAAAATAAGGAAAGGTATTATAAACGTATTTAATAACGTAAGTTGGTTAAGCTTGAACATAGATGAAGGAAATTCGACACACGGATGAACATATTATTGTTGTCATTGTCAGTATTAATTCAGTTCACTCACTGCACATGTGTGGACACAAGGGGGCGTTCAGGTCGGTATCCTCCCATTTGTTGCACATGACAGTTGTTACACACCCCAATACACATAAGGTCACAGATCAATGTTGTGCATTCGCCCTTGCAGGTCTTAACAATGCATCGCCAGGGCTGACATGTCTGTCGTGTTGTATACTTGTTGTAGAGGAATCCATCCAAAAGAACTTGTGATCTGCCTCGCTGCGATGTGACATACTCTACTCTTTGTATACCAGCCATGGTTAATGTACACGGTTGTTGTTGTTGTTATTTGCTTTATTTAACGTCGCAAGCACAACTAAGGTATTTCGGCGATGGAGTAGTACACTTAATAAGAAATGAGGGGACAAAAATAGAAATTTTGAAAGAGTGGTGTTACTACCCAAAAAGCAAAAGGAAATATGAAATAGGTAAAGAGTAATAGAGATTTGGAATTTAATATAGATGTAGTGTAATAAATGGTTATTGTTATTGTGTTTTTTGTTTTGTGAACCAACCCATGTTTAAAAACATATTTATTAGGTGAATAATGATAAACATATAAAATGTGCAATGGTCATCCCCAGCCATTTATAGTAAATGATGTATTTTCTCCATATAATTGAGTTAACTCTACTAAATAGTTAATCCTGCCTTGAGAAGATGAAACAACTGAATGTACATATTAATTGCTAACTATAAAAAACATCTTCAATC